TAAAATACGAGGAAATTTCTTCTAAAGATTTATTATCTGGTAATATCGCATTGAATTTGTCGATATTTAGAGATTTACGAGCAGGTGTCTAAGTAGGCTTGCGTAAATATATCGTACTGAGTTATTACAAATACTGTTTAATACTTTTGTACTTTATGTTTATGTTTTGAATTGGAAAATAACTTGATCGGTCACATAACTAATGTATAAAAATTCAAAGATCTTAGTTTAATCAATATATTAAATTTATCTTACTATACCTTCTTTGTAACTCATTTTATTATATTATGTAATAAAAAAGTTAACAGCAAGCCAGACGTAGAACTGTGCCTGAAGAGAAACTTAATCCAGTCAAGAATTGTTTGATTTTATAATTACTATCCGATAGAATAGAATACTTTGCGTTAAATTCTTAGTACTAGAAAACCAAGCAATTTTATTAAGAACCAATTATCTTAGCTTGCAACTTGCAGGATCACAATTTATTTTTAATAACTTAAAAGGCTTTTAGCTAAATAATTCTATTATGAACCTTTTATCTTAAATTAATACATAAGTTCTTTGAAGGTGCTCATTATCACGTCTATTTATAAATAATAAAAGCTTGTTCGTATTAAATTATAATTAACATTAAACTATTTGAAAATTGGAAATACAACACATGCTATATCTATCTATCTATACATTCATGCCTTATTCCCAATGTGTAGGCAGAGAGTACCGATTTTCCACTTGCTACAATCCTCTTATACCTCTCCCGCTTCATCCATTTTCACGACATTCACCATGCATACTACGAATATAATATTAATATAAAAAACAACATATATAAAAATTTAGTTTCGTCAATATTTATTGATATACCTATTGTTATATGAAATCGTAAATAATCATAACTTTATTTCTTTCATAAAGTAAGATTACATGCATCTTATTTATTTTAATCATATGTTATTCCTTCAATACCTAATAAAATTGTATAACTTCTAAGAATATATTGGCAGACTAAGATTTAAGAAAAAGAGACAAAACAATAAACTACCCAATATATACTGCTCAAAACAATTAGCGGAACAAGATTTTTCTCCTTTCTATTGCTTAAACTAAAATTAGATTTGAATTAACTTGTACGCTATTTTTTACCTTGTTAATTTGTTAATTACTACAATTAATAAAAAAATTCAATTTGTATTTTTTTTTTTGCATTGTAGACGAAAAACTAATTGGTGATAAAAAAGGTCCATCAAAGAAATTTTCTTATATCGTTTGAATATTCGTCTTTAGTGACTTTCAGTAACGTGTGTGGTGGCCTCCATGAGCCCTAATCACGGCTTGACAACGACGCGGCATGCTTCGTATGATCCTCCGAATATCTTCTTGTGGAATTCGCTCCCATTCTTTAATCAACGCTTCAGTGAGCTGCTGCAGTGTTTGAGGTGCAATCGGACGCTTCCGGATGCGCCTGTCAAGCAAGTCCCGAATGTGTTCAATTGGATTTAGGTCAGAGCTCTTGGAAGGCCACTCCATTACACGGATTTCCTGCTGTCGTAAGTAATCTGACGTGATGGCTGCAGTATGCGGCCTGGCATTATCTTGCATTAAAAGAAAATCTGGGCCCATACCATATGCTGCGGGCCAAACATGATCTTCGAGCACATTTTCAATGTAAGTTTGAGCACACAAGCGCCCGGGAACAACGACGAGATCTGTGCGCTCGTCCAAACTAACTCCGCCCCAAACCATCACCGAGCCACATCCAAATTTGTCATATTCCTGGACTGCTGCTGCACTGTATCGCTCGCCTGGGCGTCTGTAAACACGGAGACGACCATCGCAACGTGTTAGACGGAATCGTGATTCGTCAGTAAAAAGCACTGGCCTCCAATGTCGAAGTTGCCAATTAGCGTGATTTTGCGCGAACTGTCGGCGAGCTTGTCTATGTTGAATTGTTAGACGCACAGCCCGAACTGGTCGGCGTGATCTCAAATTGGCTTCCAACAACCTATTTCTTACCGTCTGGTCGGAAATTTCTACACCAGTAGCCGTCCTTAGTGTATTTTGTAGATCTCTTGCAGTTGTGGTGCGGTTACGTAAAGCACAGTTGACGATGTAGCGATCTTGCAAACGTGTAGTTTTTCTCTTTCGACCTTGACCACGCCTTCGTGAGTATTCTCCCGTCTCACGGTATCGCTTCCAAAGTCTGTAGATAACAGAAGGGGCTACTCCTAGATCATTTCCTACATAACGCATAGTTCGACCCTCTTCAAGCAAAGCGATAGCTCGGGAGACATGCAATTCAGTCAGATCTGGCATTATGACCTAAACTCACTCGCTTCAATGAATAACAATACTCAAAAGGCTCACTTCAATTTCTATTAATACTCAAAAGATTGAAAAAAAATACTTAAAATGTGTTTTCTGTGATTAGAAGGGAATGAAAATTCAAAGACGTCACTTTGTTTTTCGTCTACAATGCACATTTTAATTTTTTTTTAATAAAAAAAATACAAATTGATTTTTTTATTAATTGTAGTAATTAACAAATTAACAAGGTAAAAAATAGCGTACAAGTTAATTTAAATCTAATTTTAGTTTAAGCAATAGAAAGGAGAAAAATCTTGTTCCGCTAATTGTTTTGAGCAGTATATATTAGGTCCTTACATATGAAATTGGCGTTTTTCGTACTGGCCACTTTAATCACGATGTTCTCCTCTTTGGTAAGGAATTCCAAATTCAAATTTGTACAGCTATTTACTCATGGATTTGTGCTTCACTCATTTTACAAAATGGAAAACTTAAAGTATCGCATTATTTACGAGTACGAGTTCCGCCGTGGCACTAGTGCTGCGGAAACGACTCGAAGGGTGAATGATGTGTATGGCGGTCATGTTGCAAAAGAAAACACAGTTCGTTTTTGGTTCCAACGTTTTCGTTCTGGAAATTTCGACCTGCAGAACAAGCCCCGTGGACGGCCTGAGACCCAAGTTGATAATGAAGTATTGAAGGCTATTGTGGAAGCGGATCCATCGCAAACCACTTCCGAGTTAGCTGCAGGCTACGGTGTTAGTGATAAAACTGTTTTAATTCACTTGAAGCAAATTGGGAAGATTAAAAAGCTTGAAAGATGGGTACCTCACGAATTGACTGAAGCAAACCGGCAAACGCGCGTCGACTGCTGCGTTACATTACTAAACCGGCACAATAATGAAGGTATTTTAAACCGAATCATTACCTGTGATGAAAAATGGATTCTTTACGATAATCGGAAGCGCTCAGCGCAATGGTTGGATCCTGGCCAGCCAGCCAAATCCTGCCCCAAGCGAAAATTAACCCCAAAAATGTTACTTGTAAGCGTTTGGTGGACTAGTGCCGGTATTGTTCATTGCAGTTTTCTCAAATCTAGCCAGACTATTACGGCTGATGTCTATTGTCAGCAATTGCAAACCATGATGGAAAAGCTAGCGGCTAAACAACCTAGGCTGGTCAATCGCTCCACGCCACTGCTACTTCACGACAACGCTAGACCACACACTGCACAACAGACGGCTACCAAATTAAGGAGCTTCAATTGGAATGATGAATCTAATACATCCTCCGTACTCCCCGAACCTTGCTCCAACAGATAACCATTTTTTTCGAAATTTGGACAACTTCTTGCAAGGGAAAAAATTTAACTCTGATGAGGCAGTCCAAATCGCCTTCACAGATTTTATTGATTCCCGTCCGACTGGTTTTTTTAGTAAAGGGATCAATGAACTACCTATGAGATGGCAAAAGTGCATAGAAAACAATGGTTCCTACTTTGATTAATTAAATTTTCGACTTTTTGTTCCTCCCATACAAAACGCCAATTTCATATGTAAGGACCTAATATATATATATAATATACTAGCAGACCGGCCAAGCGTGTGGCTAAGGTTTTAGTTATATTACATAGTAGTAACCTATTCAAGGGAAACGGTAGGAGAACACCAGTCATGGGGACCACCATGCTTTTTTGGTGGTAATGCTTAATTGGTATTTTCAACACAGCGCCATCTGTTGGAATTGTGACTATCAAATAGTAAACAAATATTTTGCAATAAAATAATATTGCGGGTATAAATTGAGATGTAAGCTATCCTATCTTTTAAGTAAGATCAAACTGCACACGGTGTTCAAATTTGAATGAAATCGGTTCGGTAGTTTAGGAGTCCATAGCGGACAAACAACGTGACACGTAATTTATATATATTATATTAAGATATAAGCCATTTCTGTAAAAAGCTGATTATACAGAAAGAAAAAGTTTCGCCTCGTGTATAAGTTTATTGAAAAGATATAGACTGAAAGTTCGCTCCATAAACCACGCAAGTCTATTCGCCTAGAAAAATGTCGGCGTAAAGCGTTAAGGTTGTTATAGGGCCTTTCCCGAAAATTGATTTTAATAAAAGTTCAAAGTAATTTCTAAGCTCAACGATCACAACTCCTAACTAACGATCCAATTCAATATTTTTACCTTTTTCGTATATAAAACTCTTGTAGTAAAAGTTTTTGCTTTGAATCGAATGTTTTTATAGCTCTCGATATTAAATTACATATTTTGCCTTTTCTGTGTATATTTTCTGTTTCTACGATGCGAGTGGCTTTTCATAAATTTAACGAAAAATCTCTTCGCCTAATATTTCTATCTAAAGTTTAAAATTAAGTAAGAGCTTTTAATTAAATAAACAATTGACTGGCTTCCTTTTTGGTATCACTTAATTAGCAATTTAGAATTGATAGGATATCGTTAATGTATTTTGCCAAATGTTTCTTGATGAACTAGAATAGACACAAGAACAGTTTAAAAATGTCATGTGATAAATAATAAGTCCGACACAGACAATTGTTGTTGTTGTCCATTACACATGGGACATACAAATATTATCAATAATTAATTATATAAACTTAATAACTCTAACTTAAAATATATTCAACAGGTTTCTCTTCTATGGTATTCAATAAAATATTTTTTACAGTACCTCCAAACATCGTAGATGAAGGCACAAGCGGTGACCTGGTGGCCCGAGAAGGCATGGACGTGAGCATCTCATGTAAGGCTGAGGGTAGACCACTTCCACGGATACTATGGAGAAGAGAAGACGGTACAAATATTATGTTGAGAAACGAAGCTGGAGAGTTGCACAAAGGTATTGCAATAATAAAAGGTTACATTGTAATATTACATTGGCGCGACAACCGTTGAGTGGTCTTTGCTTTTAAATAAAGTACTTTCTTTAACAAGAATACATAGATATTTGGGTATAGGACTAGCCGTTTCCTTACGATGTTTTCTTGTACTTATAGAAAGTAGTGCCTAGCTAGAGCTCGAACCTTCGACCTCAACGTTGAGAGTCGCCGGCTTAACTTCAATTCCATCACTACTCAAAAAGATTTTATTACTGCGAAAACTTAAATGAAAATAAGCTACAATCATATTTATCAAAACGATCGAGGCAACCAATATCAAAGAAAATTTCAATAATAAAAGCACTTAGCCTGAAAGATATACTGATAAGCGAAGCGAAACAATTATCGGATGTTTCTCGTGTAATTGCCTTTCTGAGTTTGATTTACTATGGTAATTGATTTTCCTTTAGCAAAGAACTTAATTCAAACATGAACCTGAGAACATAATATTATTATTTTGGTAAACATCGACCCAAAGCAAACATTAATATTCGTTACATTTATGTAGGTTAATTGCAAGTTATGGAAACTTAAGGTATGAAACAGACACATACTGTGTCCAGACTTTTTTAATGATAAATATTCGTAATTCGAATCCGAGACCTCTGTCTTTAAGGCATCGAATGAAGCAAACGCGTGATCAGCTAATATTAATAACATTTACAGCGTTTGTAATAACATATTTTTTTAATAACTTTAAAAAGGTACACTAACGAAAAACATAGAAACACTTACAGAGAACATACATACAAAAACACAATACATGGATAAGCATAAGTGACAAGTACGAGTATGCACAACATTGAAAGGGAAACATTACAATGATAAAAGAGAAAAGAAATTATACAATAAAAATAAAACTTACACTAGATTAAGAAATACAAAATACAATTTAAAAATTTAATTTCTACTTCGCAATTGTTATTATTGGTGATGGATCAACACACATTCTTATATTTGTATTATTACTTCTATACTGAAAAGTGATGGTAGATTTGCAAATACAAGTTGCAGTATATATAGTTACAACGACCAAATAATACGCATGTAGTGTTGAGAGAATCGCTTATATACGTACAGCGTGGTAAAGCACAATAACTAATAAATATACTCGATTCGTAACAAGACCTCACCTTACCTTTCATAAGACCTCAAGATTATATTCCTTTGCTGTAAAAATGAAGTACTATTTATCTAGAACAAAGCTTAGAGCCACATCTTTTTGGGGATCATATGCACTGTCACATAATCATTACCTTACTGCCATCAGTGTATATATTATTTAATACTTGTTGTTTTCTTTTAAGAATGCTAGTAAGGCTGAATTATTATCAATTAATAATTGATAGAAAGTTTTGATGAAAGCTTATAAATATAGACAAATTAAAATATTACACAAAGAGAAAAGTCTTAGTCTACTCTAGTCTATCTTATAGCTTACCTTTAAAAACCTAAAAAAAGGTATTCGATCTAAATGCTTGTTTATTATATAGGGAATTAAAAACAAAGTTAAACTTACGAGTACTCGTATAAGAAGAAAAGTTAATTATTTAAAGGCTTGCTGAAACTTAAGAAATTGATATTAAAATTATTTACAACGTAAACCGATGATTTTAAAACCTAGGAAATGTTATTTCAAACTCCTTGTTGCAAACTTCATCAACGCATTATAAAATTCGGATCCATGTCGTTATTGATGGTTATTTTTTGATAACGATATTCTTCAAGCTTATACAGAATACTTTATAAATCTTCTAGTATAAAATTGAACGTACACATTTATTTATTTACAATTTGTTACCTTATACAAAAAAATACATACAAAAAGCAGGTTACATAAGTTATTAGGCAACGGGCGGCTGTCGGCCTTATCGCTTACAAGCGATTTCTATCAGGCAACCCTAGTATGGAGCAATAAAAAAAGAAACACCTACAGAGGGTAAAGTACAAGAAGTGCATATAATATATAATTAAGAAGCAAGAACATAAAACAACATGTCACACTATAACTAAAATAAAGTAGAATGAAAAAGAAGAATAATAATAATATAAACAAAAATGTAAGAGCTAATCGTACCGTAATCACCTTTTATGTACAATACTAATATATAGAAGTAGTTTAATTATGTACTGCTTACAAACACTGTGTAATGTTATATGTTGTTATGATTATTCATTTCCTTAGCGACATGAAAGTGAAATAACAAAACATCAAATAGCTCCTTTGTGTTACAGTTAGAAATGTAATAGTTACGACCTTTAGTATATAATAAAATGTAGATGAATTCACAAGCTAGGATAATGTATTATAATCGCACTAATTCGGATTTACAACTGTGTGAACTTGCCTAGAATGCTAATAGGGCATCGTGTTTTATAAAGGTTCACTGTAGTAAGTAAGATGAAAAAATGTAGGGGAAGGTGGGGACCCTTCGTACGGTTTTCACATTTTATTTTTTAATTTTTTTATTTTTCCATGAATCAATCACCTGATAGCTTAAATTTATAGTCTAACTATCTGAGATTCAAATAAAAAAATGATAAATGATTTCATCCGATGTTTCAACCATAATTATGATTTAAACTAAATCTGGAAAACGTACGAATCTGCCCCATCAACGGGGCACCTTCGTACAGTGTTTGGGGTACCTTCTTACGCTGTGGGGTAGTTCAAAATTCATTTATTAGCAATGAAATTAAACACAAAAATAAAGATTTAATTTCTATTAAACAAAAATAAAATACTTTTCTTATGTAAAACAAAATTTAATTAGTTAGGTATCTTAAATTTAGAATTACATTTTTTACTCTTTGGTGTGGATTACAACTTCTTATTTTCGGGTGTGGCAGTATAAATTCGTGGTTTTCCTGGCCGTCATCGTCATTTTGCTTGTTTTATTACTTCTTACAGAATGCGAATAGGGTCGAAATGCCTCTGGTGTCAAAACTGACTTCGAAGGAACTACTATTTGATGGATTGGTAAATTATTCACAGCATCTGGTTCACAAGCATCAAAATCAACCTTAGTCAAGATGCCTTAACAGTAGTGTAATATGTAGAAAGTCGAAAACTTAATTTGTATGAAAAAGACAGTTCGCGTCGACAAATTATTATACAAATTTAGTTGTACAATTCGTACAAATGTGCCCCATCTAGTGCTGTCCGAATGTACCCCACTAACTGAATAACAACAAAATATAACTTATTTTAATATTAATAGGAAAACGTCATAAATTAAGTATTGGAGACGTATCTTAAGTATATTTTGCTAGTTACTGATAGAATACTCTACACGAAAACTTATTTTATCTACGGTAACAAGAGATAAAAACATAGATCAAAAAATTACTTACCGAGCGCGAAAACACGTCTATGCCTGTAACTTCACTCTCATCGGTGCGAATTTCACGAAACTTCGTTGATGTATAGTTGGTACCTCGACTCATGCACACATACAAAAGCAAGACTGTACTTTATTTCGTTCAAGTTTTATTTTGACTGTATGAATGTGCCCCGCGTACGAAGGGTAACGATCTTCCCCTATATCATACATTTTTACAATATTAAATTAAATTGATTGATTAATTAATTTAATTACATTTCCAACTTTTGTTTTGTAGTAGGTATGTAAATATGTGGTATATGCGGGAACGTTGCATTGCCGATCGCTTAATGAGTTATTTGGACATACATATTAACTAATTGATTAATATTACAGATTTTGTTTTGTTTTTGTATGTTATTTGTAATAATTCTTATCCTTATATTATGTATTTGTTTATTTTACATCCATAATATAGCGCTGTTAGTGAAAGTAATAAATAATAAATTATAAATAAATAATTATATTTAATGTTGAAGATAAGAAAATGCTAAATTAACTCAGCATAAGGGTCTTATAAACCGAATTCTCCACCCTAAGGAAGTATTTTCCAACACGACGTGCATTTCCCTGTTCCTATTCTATGTACTGTGAGATTTCTTTATGTTCTTTGTTACAGTTGACATGTACACTGGGCCATCCCTGAATCTCACGAAGGTCGATCGAAGACAAATGGGCGCCTATCTCTGCATAGCCTCCAACGACGTTCCACCCTCCGTTAGCAAGAGGATCATGCTAAGTGTTAATTGTAAGTAACAGTTTAATTGGACGATATAGGTCTACGCGTTCATTGATGTCCATCGTGTACAATCATTATATACCAATGTCAAATTATTTAAACGTTAGGGTTTGTAGTTAAAACAATTGAAACATCTTTCTTTTGATATCTTCGCCAATAGCGGACCTACTTTTAAGAAATATAAAAAACGCACTAGCAACACATAGCTCTTTACGAGACATTCTAACTGTCCCTATCTCGTCAAATTAATAGTGATGACTTAATCCCTACTTCCTGTTCCTTAGAAGATATTAGTGTCAACATATTGTCGCAATTTAATCATAATTTACACGTTATGGCTTACCGCAATGGCTATTAAACATAATGGTCAGGTATAGACATCAATTATTAAAATACTTACATAAATGGCATCTGAAATGGGCCAATTTAGTAAGCTAAGCTAATTTAATACAAGCTAAGTTCATTTGTTAAAATTGATTTACATTGCCACTGACTGAATCTTTGTAGTTCTATTTCCAATGCTGTATATGGGATCTAATATATAAAATTCTCGTGTCACAATGTTCGTTCCCATACTCCTCCGAAACAGCTCGACCAATTCTTATAAAATTTTTTATGCATATTCAGTAAGTCTGAGAATCGGCTACTATCTATATTTCAAACCCCTCAGTGATTTATGATACATCATACAAAAATACATACAACCCTTAATTTTCATCCCTCTACGATCAACCCCTATTTTTTATTATTGTAGATAGTTATTTTTATTGAACTAAAAAAATGTGTCCTAGAAATAATATACATGGCAATACAAACGTTTGCTGCAGCTAGTGTCTCTATAAAATATGGTATTGTACTGATAGGAAACTGTCACGGCTTCGCTCGACTGGAAATTTATTTTTCAATTTTTAATATGTATATAAAACACATAAATATGACATATGTCACTCAGGGATGGAACTCAAGAATGTTATATACATTCTTATGATGAAAGAATTATTGAAGTCGGTTCAGAAGCTTTTGAGCTATCAGTAAAAACATACTAATATTTTTGTATGTTTTAATATTAGTAAAGATATAGATGTAAAATGCTTTTTAACTTATCTAGTCTACATATAGGAAACATATAAAAAGGCTCGGGTCACGCCATTTTTCCACCTAAGTGCTTCCAATTTTTCCTGAAAAATCTTGTTATAAATCAAAAAATACCATGTACTAAATAACACCTGATTGCTTAATATGTTGCAAGTGCATATGAATGCAGAGAGAGACCATTTAACTCTAAATTTATTTAAGTATTTATGTTTCCTATAGTTAGTCCATCAATTTTGACGTCGACGAAGGTGATGGGAGTTCCTACGGGTTCACAAGCCACTTTAGAATGTATCGTAGAAGCATATCCACACCCTATAAACTTTTGGCTACGGAGTGGGGATAAAACAATGATTCTGGCTAGGTAAGTAAGTTAGATTAAGTTTGATTAAATACACTTACAAATAAAAACAGAATAAAAATAATTCTTAAACAATTAAAAAGTTATAATGATTAAAGGGGACGTAAGTTTCTTCTTTTTTAAGGGTCTCTCGGGGGTACTCGTGATATACGCCGGGTTTACGCCGTGCAAGTTTCAATCAACATTTTTTTAGAAAACAAAACACAAATACAAACGTAATTTTTTAGGTTTCAGATAAATCATTAAAAATAACGAAACGTTTCAATTGCTCATTAATTTATCAACATGCAGACAAAGAACTATTTACAAAAAGCTCTGCCGAAAGCTTTAAAATCAAATTCGTACGGGACTGAATCAAATTTAACCGACCGACCATTAAGAATGCGATAGCGTTACATGCTGGATTTTATTTTACACTTTGGAAACTTGTCGAAGCTGAATTTTCCGGCACTTTACTGTGAAATACAAGTGGAGATTGACAGCCGTTCTGTGCGCTATTTGCTGAACGTACTAAATCTACAATCAGAGCTAACGATAAGTCACAGAAAATCTCTTTTCCTATCGGTTACTGAGCATTTTAGTTTGGAAATGCTTTTTCAATGTTTCTAAAGCAGTATTGGACTATTGGCTAGGTTTATGACTACAAATTCTTATGTCGTCCATTGAAATTACTCATGTAACAATGGATAATATATAACATAATATGTGCGAATTAAACACCTTACGTTGAAGGAAAACATCGGATCTCTTAGAGCCAGAATTTTACAGCATGCGTTAGGCACAGCAAGGCTGATCGACCACTTTTTTTCTATATTAAACAAATAATGCTTATTAATACTACTTTTGTTTACAGTAACAAACATGAAATCAAAGAAGTGAGGACGTCCGCATATCAAGTTAAGGTCACTTTAACAATATCGGAGTTTTCTATGGAAGATACTGGGACCTATACGTGTGTGTCGAGTAATAATTTCGGCAAAGCAGAAGGAACTTTGAGGTTGTATGGTAAGTAAACGGTATAATTCAGTTTTGTCACATGAAGTGACGCTACATCTATGATATAAAAATGAATCGCAAAATGTGTTGGTAAGCGCATAACTCAACAACGCCTGGACCAATTTGGCCAATTCTTTTTTTATAATCTTCCTTGAAGTACGAGGATGGTTCTTACGGAGACCAAAATTAAAAAAAATTGAGTGAAAAAGTCTAAAAACAACACTTTTCTATATTCCCGTACAAAATATTCGTAATAATACTTAAAAGTCAATTTGAACTTTAATACCATAACATAAAGTTCAAGTGTTAGTGGAGGCGTACCGGGAAGGATTTTTTTTATTTTTTGACATAATGTATTTGTTGTCTTATCAACTTTCTTTTTTTTATCTTACTAGCTAGACCGGTGTCCCGAATAGTAGAATAAGTATTTAAAAAACAATAAAGAATCAACTGTTAGGCGGTACGATGTTCGCCAGGCCAGCTAGTTGTGTATAAATATAATATAATAAATTAAAGACGTTTCTAAATCTAATTTATATTTCTAAATTCCTTTAAACACGGTTTTCCTACAAGAGTTTGCTTACTAAGGATAATAAGATACACAATAACTTTTTTAATAAAAAAAAATATTTTGTTTGCAAATAAAATAACGAAAAAGCATTCACTGAGTACTTTTATTATTTTATTCTAGAAATAAAAATCACTACCACAACGACAACTACAACAACAACAACAACTACGACGACGACAACAACAACGCCGGCGCCCACCACGACAGAACTCACCACACAGCCACGTAAGTTATTACTTATAATAGGTCTCGAAACGTTATTTGATATGAGTATTCCTTTTGTCTTTTAGTAAAAATCGAATTGTACTAAAGTACCTACTCATGTGTCCCTTCATCCCGGAATAAAAACAATTTGAGAAAACGAAAACGAGTACATTAGTATAAAAGTATAGTTATTAAGTGTTTGGGTAGAGTGTAAAAGAAGAATAATATTCTCCCTACTACCCTAATTTAAGTTAAAATAATATTTTCATGATAATTGTTAGTGTTACACCTAGTGGTTTAAAAGCGCTTTAAAGTTAATAGGTTAAATCTTGCACCTCTATGCAGAAGTCGATCTTATATGTATTACGAACGTGGAATATAATGTAGCAATTCGGTGTTTCTGACGTGAGTTTAATAATAACGGCAAAGCCAGTCATAGCAAGTAATAGAGTTAACATAGTATATGCGTACCCTTGTTAAATGTACCTTGCGGTGCTAATATTAGTTTGTTATGTATATCAGTTTTTAAAATTGTATAATATTTTTATAACAATAGGTGTAAAAAATGTAAGCTTAACTAAAACTACTTTGTTTTAGATTACATAGTAGCGTTGCAGCCCGCTGAGCAAAAATTCTATACACCAGACGTAACCACTTTTGGTAAGTAATTAATAATAATAAATAATTATTCTACAATTTCAAAACTCTATACTTTAAAGGTATCATTCCGCAAATTCATATTCTAATAACATCGAAGTAGTATTCAATTTGTAATAAAAATTAGTATTTCCTTGATACAGGCACGAAGTGAAATTAAGTGCCGATTTAAGTCATGGTGATCAGCTTGTGTTTCCTTAGATATAATTAAATATAAAAAAGAAGTAATTAAATATAAATATAAACAATCCACAGATACAATGCAAAATGTCATAGAGCAGTCCGTCCTCGACAACAACTGGTTGCCGACTGTGGAGTCAAGTGCGCGCTCGCTTCGAACATCAACAACAATTTTATTACTACCCACATTATTTCACTTTCTACATAGACTACAAACATATTTAATTTTAGAAAATAAATACGATATCCAATATTCAAGGTGATAAGTTAAGTGATATAGATTTTTCTATGTAAATTTTATAATTTTGTTGTGTTAGTTCAGATTAAGTTTCAGTCTAGTATATTTTTGTACATAATTTACGTAATGGTTACTTTAAGTAAAAAAACAAAGAAATAAAATTCCTTTTAACTGATTAATACAGCTACTTACAGATGTACTCAATCGTCGTTTATTTTTAATGATACATTCATTTATCAAGAGAACAAGTCAAAATTTAATGATTTATTACTTTATGCATTGAAAAAATAAATTAACATCCAATTGTATTTATGGCGTAACAGTTAACTCTTGATGAACGGCTCAGTACAGCTGTAAGTTGAATCTGACGTTTTATTTTCGCGGCAGTAATTTTAAAATAAATATCATAATGATTTTTTTATAATATACTTAACCAATAACAGTACACTACGAAACTGTAATATGTACAAAGACGTTTAATCTTAAAGAAGCATATCAATAACAATACATTGTACATAGATAGCTATACACCAATAATAAATTTAAGAATATCTCCTTACATTTTTTTGATTGATCAGTAAAGTCTCAATAATACTTTTAGGTTGCTAGAGATATTAAATTATTATTTGTCTCCTAGCACAGAAAAAAGATTTCAGATCTCTTTCTGAAACCTTTTTGCTCTGCAGACTCTCTTTCTTAACGATCGTTAGTTTATGTGAAACAAAAGACTACATACTTTAATTATTATTAAAAAATCGTGGCGCTACAACCTCTAGGTCTTGGATTTTTGTATCTGTTTCACGATCACTTTTTTCTTAATGGGCAAGTAGGTGATTATCGTACTAATGAATAACGTTCGCCGTATGAGCGACTATTAATTGCGGAAATATATAATAATTCTCAGGACTGCGAGTCGACTCGCTCGGGCCATGGTCTAGTTGTCTAGTTTACGACAGTGCTTATAATTATTATGTATATGAGGAATAACCATGAATCTTTTTTCGCCTCATTGTAAACTCAGACAGACACAGACGCCTTAAAGCGTTGATTAACCTACTATATTTGGCAATTTCTATTTTCAATATAGAACCTAGATACAATTAATACATTTTGGAAATTTCGTGAAAAACAATATCCATTATGTAGACTCATTGTTCTGAACCAACGGTACGCCAAACTAACGAGATTGTCACCAATAACTAGATGATATATCTATCACCATGAACGAGCGATGTTGTATTGGAAATATATTTTTGTTTGCAAAACATTTTATTTTATAAAACTAGCATTGTCCATATTAAAGATTGATTCAGTGTTTGGTAATTACCTTATTTAACTAACTGTTATCTGAATCCTACGCACAGGCAGTAATCTCCTGTTTGAGTAGGTTATTAAGGTGTTATATTAACTGGTTTCGTTGTTGTTTCGTAGAAACTTATTAAATTCAATTAATCTCAGTGAATTAGGAAAAAATTGCCCGTTGTTTGCCATTGTTTTCTACATAAATTATTTACAATTAGCATTTTTTCACAGAATTGATGATCATGATGCGGCCGATTTCAAGTATCATTATTTTATTAAATACCCGAATAAATCTGGCCAGGCTAGATCAGTAAGTTAAAAAAGTCTGTTTAAGAGCTAAAAGCACTTACACGACTAATGAGGCGTAGAACACAAGAACTATGGGTTTATTCAAAACCTTTACTTACTATGAAAAGTAAACTTTTATATTTAATTTTCTTAACTGCTTCTTAAAAATAGCCTAAATTTATTTAAAATAAGCGTTATTTAGTTTTAGAAGATGTTATGTAAATACTGACATATAAATAAGCCATTTTATTACCCTGTTCTCTGTAGAATTAGTTTATAAGGTAGCTTATGGGAAAATGTAAATAAATCAATAAATTGTTTAATAATAATATTTATTTTATTTAATTCCATTAACCTGGGCATAGGCAGACACATGTTTCATTGAACGTTGTTATTGCCCAGTAGGCCTTCTGTGCCTGACACATGTCATATATTTTCGCTTCTAAAAAATCTGCAAGAGAAAGTCTTGCGAGTAGAAAAAGACCGTCTAAGTGAGATTCCAATTGCGAACGAAGATAATAACCGAGAACTAAAGACTTCTATATGAGCTGGCGGAGACTCAATAAAAATCTAAAAACAAAAGGCAAGCAGCTTTTCACATAATTATATAATGCTCAATTGCTCAGGCAAGAAGCAACCAGATTTTTGATACAGAAAGAGAAGAGAGAAGTAAAACCGGGGTTATATCAGTTTCCATTGTACAAGCAAACACACTAATACTAATGCAATATTTGTGTTAATGCTTAACAAATATACAGTAAGCATGCATCTTTGTGAACTGATTAACAAAAATACGTTAAAAACATCGTTGATAAAAACATATTGTTATAATAATTTCCATGTATCCAGCAAAACACAAAGTATCCGGATCACGTTATTATACTAACGAGCCCGAAATAAACAGTAAAAACAAATCCCATTAACGATTGTTTTTGTTGTGCACGCAACTGTATTTTCTGATTATATCAAATTTCGATATTATCCAAATTTGGTTAAATCGTTTACCGGGAATAATATAACAATACACTAAGTAGTAATTGGCCTAGATTTCATGTTTCTTTAATCATATTTTTGAGAATACCTTACCTTCTGTGCCTGACATTTCATTTATACGTCTAAAACTTACCACGCTGTTCACCTTTAGAGCACGTGATAAATGAGCGCAGAGTGAATTACAAATTGGTTCTCAGCAGCTCAAAAGCAGAGCCTCGGCTGAGAGTCGCACGATGAACCCACTGCGGCAACCCTTTTTACTCCCAAAGTAGTCTTGACTAATTTATCAGAATAGACCTTGGCGTATACCACGGCCATGATCGGTTAACTTAGCGTATTATTCAATTCATGATAATAAGACTAATGTTTTATAGGGTTATATTGTGCATTTTATTATGAACAGTTATTTTAATTATCCTAGTTCGACTCAAACTAGATTAAATAGAGATTTTTTTTATCAACGGGTCACTTAGGGCTTGCAAGTGAAGAATGTTCGGTTGATGGTCATTTTTATTTAGAAGAATTATCGTATAGAGACGTATAAATTATTGATTATTTTTATGTAATAGAAGGCAAATGGGCAGGAGGCTCATCTGATGTTAAGTAATACCGCCGCCCATTGCAAGAAGGCTCGCAAGTGCGTTGCCGGCCTTTTAAGAATTGGTACGCTTTTGAAAGAGCTTAAGTTGAATTGGTTTGGAAATACTTCAGTGGGTAGCTGGTTCAACGTAGTGGTGGTGCGCGGCAAAAACTGCCTTAAGAAACGCTCAGTTGTGGAACGACGGACGTCGAGGTGATAGATACACGTGGTATTTTGTATTCTACTTTGACGTCCGATAACGAAACTTAGCTGCAGGTATTAGTCCGAACAACTCCTCTGAACACTCTCCATGGTAAATGCGGTAGAAGATGAAGAGTGACTAGTCGTCGACGATTCGAATCGCTCTTCGTTGAATACGGTCAAGCGGAAGGAGCTGGTACTGGGGAGCTCCCGCCCAGAGGTGAGAACAGAACTCTATCCAGTGCTTCGTTGATATTAACCCAATTAGCTAACCTAAAAACTAAAATTAGGTCATAAACTATCTAAAACAACTTTGCTGTTAATTGCTATACTAAACTAACATAATAAACTTACAAGCTCTTAATACTGCAGATACTGTATATAACAATAAAAACATTCGATTAATTCGTAGGCACATTTCTACCAAAATTAGCTTCACGTTTGAACTGTAAAGCCCTAATTCCAAATTCAATTTCATAGATACACAGTAAATAAATTGTAATTGCCCTAATTCAATGAAACAAGAGGCCGTATGCAACGTAATTATTTTCGAAGCTAATGTACTGTTAATATTTGCTGTAATGCCGCAGAGCCTATATCAAACATCATGTCAAAGCTTATCAAACTAACCGTATATTATTGTATTATATGTTTTGTATGAACCGCTGTCAGCTTCACTATTGTAATCTAAAATTTCGATGCTAAATAAAATATAGAATGCATGGAGTAGCACATTTGTTTACGTAGAATTAGGATTATTTATTATAATGGTATTAATCATTTTAAAACTTTACGATAATTAAAATTAATAACTCAGAAGAAATAAATAAAACATAATTATTAATTATAAATCGTTTGGTGCCTGTGGCAGAGTGCTTTAACGCACAGCAGAAGTTGCTGCTTCTGCAGCAGCGAAAGCCACAGCGTATCACGCAACACGCTTCAGTGATGTGGGTGTGTTTCTAGAAGGACATTCTTTTGTCCCTTTACCTCAATCGCATTGGTGCTTTACTGTTTTCTTCCGTATAATTAGTCCAAATCGACGATGTAGGAAACTACAGGGCAGGATTTAATAAATACATCGGTATTATTTGGAAAATGACGTTAGAAATTTCGCCACAAATGGGTGATTTTCAGTACTTAAAAAAAGTATTTTCATGTAGAAAAAGGTTACATGCAGACAGACAAATATCCCAAAAATCGGCAATTCAAAATCCAATGACAAGATTTCCTAATCAGGCATTTCATCAGACATTCTTAGTTTCAATTACACAAGTTACACGATAAGTGTGTTATCATTACCAAGTTGCGTCATATAAACGGATACAACGTAGATTTCCTCGAAAGAGATTTCAGTAATATGAAAATAGAAGCTATTGTTCAACTCTCAACTTTATTCTATTATGCAAATCGCCGTCGTTGTCATCTAAATAATTTCCAACATAATTTAATAGCAACTAAACTCATTCAATGTCAACAACTTATATAAATGTAAATTTGAGACATGGGTTTAAAGAAAGTGACCCTTAGACCTTATTTATTGTTCAGCTCATGCCGATGACACTCTTTGTGATGCAAATACGCGGACGAAAACAATTTAAATGTTAATTTATTTACCATGCCCCAAATCGGCCATTTTCCTATTTATCTGACCATGTAAA